TGTTTTTGGATGCTTGTCCAACCCACCAAGAGAAATGGCATGAGCTGGTTGGACAATATTAACTGGCGTCACGTGCCTCCGAATTGACGAATGGAATGAAATTCAGATCCGTTTGTTATCCTAATACGAAAATTCGAAGAAATTCGAAAATTACATTCATTTCCCCAGGGGCCCGATCTACTATCGCAGCATGTGATGTCATCCGAATGAAAAAAAAATTGTTACGACTTTTTTTTCAGATTCGTTGTTATTCGTTTCCATGTCCATTCGGGAGAATCGGATCCATCCCAGTCTCTGAAAATGAAATTTTTGTCCGGAAAACGAATGGTGAGGAAACGCATGTCTATTCATTTCCCCCAAAAATGAAGGCGTCATGTGATGTCACCAGAATGAAACGTATATATTTGTTATAACTTATCTTTAGGAGACATTGCCATTCTTTTCTTTTTTTCTTCCATCAATGACAAGATAAAGGCATTGTACAAGGAAGTCATTGGGCGATACAAAACATGCTCAAAAAGGAATGCAACGTTGTAAATACTTCGACAACAAAGAAAAAAAGAGAAAGGGGAGGTAAGAGCCACAAAACAAGATAAACAAAAAAAAAAAAATTAAAAAAGTTAAGTGGAGTAACCCAGTCCTGTGAAGGGGGGAGGGTGATCCCGTCAGCTCAAGATCGGCAGCTCCCACATAAACTCCAGCTCCGGCTAACCAGAAAGATAATTGGAGAGCCCATTCGGAGATTTGGATACATCCAAATCTCCAAAAATGAAATTTTCATCCAAAAAATGAATCGAAACGAACTGCACATGTCTAATGAAAGGCACGAGTAAAGGTTTCAAGACATTTGTACTTTGATTTTTTTTTTTTTTACACATTTGTTTGTCAAATATTTTACAAATTTATAAAAATGATGGGATTTAAGTGACGTTTCCATTTCTTGGAAATAGGATTTCTGGTATCCACATAAGGGGAGTGGGTGGTGTTGAGGGACACAAATGGGAATTGTAGGTCTTTAAATTTCCAAGACTTTGAACCTTTGCTTTTTACTTTTTTTTACACATTTGTTTGTCAAATATTTTACAAATTTACAAAATTGATGGGATTTAAGTGACGTTTCCATTTCATGAAAATAGGATTTCTGGTATCCACATAAGGGGAGTGGGTGGTGTTGAGGGACACAAATGGGAATTGTAGGTCTTTAAATTTCCAAGACTTTGAACCTTTGATTTTTACTTTTTTTTACACATTTGTTTATCAAATATTTTACAAATTTACAAAATTAATGGGATTTAGATGACGTTTCCATTTCATGGAAATAGGATTTCTGGTATCCACATAAGGGGAGTGGGTGGTGTTGAGGGACACAAATGGGAATTGTAGGTCTTTAAATTTTTTTTTTACACAATTGTTTGTCAAATATTTTACAAATTTACAAAATTGATGGGATTTAGGTGATGTTTCCATTTCATGGAAATAGGATTTCTGGTATCCACAGAAAGTGGGTAGTGTTGAGGGGACACAAATGGTAATTGTAGGTCTTTAAATTACCAAGACTTTGCACTTTTGATTATTACTTTTTTTTTTTACACATTTGTCAAATATTTTACAAATTTACAAAATTAATGGGATTTAGGTGACGTTTCCATTTCATGGAAATAGGATTTTTGGTATCCACATAAGGGGAGTGGGTGGTGTTGAGGGACACAAATGGGAATTGTAGGTCTTTAAATTTCCAAGACTTTGAACCTTTTGATTTTTACTTTTTTTTTTACACATTTGTTTGTCAAATATTTTACAAATTTACAAAATTGATGGGATTAAAGTGAAGTTTCCATTTCATGGAAATAGGATTTCTGGTATCCACATAAGGGGAGTGGGTGGTGTTGAGGGACACATATGGGAATTGTAGGTCTTTAAATTCCAAGACTTTTTTTTTTTCACACATTTGTTTGTCAAATATTTTACAAATGTACAAAATTGATGGGATTTAGGTGACGTTTCCATTTCATGGAAATAGGATTTCTAGTATCCACATAAGGGGAGTGGGTGGTGTTGAGGGACACAAATGGGAATTGTAGGTCTTTAAATTTCCAAGACTTTGAACCTTTTGATTTTTACTTTTTTTTTTTACACGTTTGTTTGTCAATTATTTTACAAATTTACAAAATTGATGGGATTTAAAGTGACGTTTCCATTTCATGGAAATAGGATTTCTGGTATCCACATAAGGGGAATGGGTGGTGTTGAGGGACACAAATGGGAATTGTAGGTCTTTTAAATTTCCAAGACTTTGAACCTTTGATTTTTACACTTTTTTTTTACACATTATTTTGTCAAATATTTTACAAATTTACAAAATTGATGGGATTTAGGTGACGTTTCCATTTCATGGAAATAGGATTTCTGGTATCCACATAAGGGGAGTAAGTGGTGTTGAGGGACACAAATGGGAATTGTAGGTCTTTAAATTTTCAAGACTTTGAACCTTTGATTTTTACTTTTTTTTACACATTTGTTTGTCAAATATTTTTACAAATTTATAAAAATTATGGGATTTAAGTGACGTTTCCATTTCATGGAAATAGGATTTCTGGTATCCACATAAGGGGAGTGGGTGGTGTTGAGGGACACAAATGGGAATTGTAGGTCTTTAAATTTCAAACCTGGGGGGGGGGGGGTCTGTACTAAAGAGACACAAAGAGAACTGTAGATAAATTTACATTTAAAACCCGGGGTCTGTCCTCTCCAGCAGGGAGAAATCTAAGATTTCATCCATTAGCCCGATGCTTTGTCCTGAAACCTATCAAGTGAACCGAAAGGTCGAAAACTGCAATTTAAACCTTCCCAGCCGCCCCCTCAGGCTCCGGCATTCGGAATCCGCAGATCACAATCACAATTGTGCTCTGGAAACATCCGACTAGATGGATTGGAAGGAGCGACGCAATATATTTCTACTTAGAAACGAACTGATAAAAGGCAGATTATCGGTGGCACTGTATTTTTAGAGAAATGGCCTGGAGTGAAAGCCGGTTGCTCGGTAGGCAGATGAGAAAAGACCGTGTGCCCAGATTAAGTATAAGTATGACCACCCATGTAAAAATCTGTCCCTTCCAAGGAAAACAAACAATTGAGTTCATTCACACGCATGTTAGAAGAAGGTCAAAATATCCTTCACCACACCAGTCTGTTTTGAAGGCACTTACAATTTTAGCCACATTAGCAATTCTGTCACTGGCTGGATCAATATAGAGGACAAAAAAAAAACCGTGGTCTGTCCCTTACAGTGCCCCCCCCCCCCTCCAGCTGGATGGACTAGCGAAGCATTACCTTCTGTTCCAGTGCCCTGGGCAGCTGACATGGGTTCACCTGAGGCTCAGAGTCCAAGTGGCAGTTGGTCTTCATAGAGCTCCTAATAGTAGAGATGGGCCGGGAACCCTAATGGTCCCCGGTTACTTTTCTGCAAATGGACACCGGGTTTTGGCTCTCAGGACCACCCCACCAAGGGGTTGCCTGGATATGAGGAGCTTTTTGTTCACTGGGCTACAGACGAGAGATTAGACAGGTGTAGGCAGAGGTCAAAGCAGGTGAGATAGTAGTCAAGTCTAAGTAAAGGTCTAGGTCACCTCCTTGCTGCAGTGCTGTTCCTGATCCCTTCACATGTGTCTGTGCTCACCTATGAGCGTTGTCTGTTGTTATGTTGGTTTTATTTCTTTCACTTCCTGGCCCGCCTCCTTGTTTGCCTGCCTATATAAGACATGCTCAGTCTAGGCCACTTTGCCTGAGCAACTTCCTAGTTATCGGAGCTCCTGTGTGTTCCTATTGCCTGTATCCTGCATTGACTACTTGTGTACCGACCCCGGCTTTGTTCTGACTGTGCTTGTTTTCCACCTGTCCTGACCTCCGCTAGTCTATTGGATTTCTGTTTGTCTCCTCCCATTGTACTCTGCTCCCGTGAGCGGTCTCCTCATCCTCAGCTGGGCAGACCTGGGGGCCTCGACCTGGTCTCAGCTTGCTGCAAGTCCATCCCCAGGATCAGGGGCTCCGGTGAAGAGCAGGCTGGGGCTTAGACTCTGCGCCCTGGGGAACCCCAAGTGGACTATCTACAAGGGCTCACTACCACAGGTGCTGACAGTCTAAGTAGGCACCAAGCAAGAACATAGTCAGATCTGTGCAGAGGTCTGGGTAGACAGCAAGAAAGAGAGAAGTCAGGTCTTAGTAGAGGTTTAAGCAGTCCGCAAGCAAGAATGTAGTCAGGTCCCAGCAAAGGTCTAGGTAGACAACAAACAGGAGAGTAGTCCGGTCAGTCCAGGATATCAGTGGGCTGGCAAGTATTGTTGATGCTTAAATATCCTTCTGGTCAGTGGGCACGAGTAGTTGTTTTGGATGTCTTGGCAGGATGGAGAGTAGGAGTTCTGGAATTCATGGAAGGGATTCTGAGAGTAGGAGTTCTGGACATCCTGGCAGGGTGGAGAGTAGGAGTTCATTCAGTAACTAAAAAATATACCAAAGCCAAAGGGTCGGAATAGCAGCCAGGCTACTTACAGTTTCAGAAGAAGATCAGAAATGATGGCCTCTATCTTTGTTTGGGAAAGCTTTACTTCAGAGACTCTTGTCACCAGCTCAGTGTTTCTCCTTTCCATAAACAATTTTTTGTTCGCCTACATTGTGCTTTTGAACTAGCTATGGAACCTGACTGGGAAGAGTCAGTTCTCTAGCACACCCTCTTCCTCCTTGCATGTCATAGCCCTCTCCCCTTCTGGGAGTGTCTAATTACTCTGTGCTGGCCCAGCTCCTCCATCCATTCCATTACCTCCCTAACCATTTATGTAGCTCTAGAGAAGAACTGAAGGGTAATACTCTAGAGCAGCAATTCTCAACCAGGGTTCCGCCAGAGGTTTCTAGGGGTTCCTTGAGCTGTGACTAACTGACCTCCAATTTAATGGTAGCTGCATAGTTCCAGGGCCACCGCCACTTGGCATGACATCAATTATCTTTTTAGCTATCACTAAGGGTGGCATTCTGGTCACAACTGTAAAGGGATCATTCTTCCGACTGACCACCAATGTAAGGGACATTCTTCCGACTGACCACCAATGTAAGGGACATTCTTCCCGCTGACCAACAATGTAAGGGACATTCTTCTCCCTGACCACCAATGTAAGGGACATTCTTCCCACTGACCCCCAATGTAAGGGACATTCTTCCCACCACCAATGTAAGGGACATTCTTCCCACTGACCACCAATGTAAGGGACATTCTTCCCACTGATCACCAATGTAAGGAGCATTCTTCCCCACTGACCACCAATGTAAGGGACATTCTTCCCACTGATCACCAATGTAAGGAGCATTCTTCCCACTGACCACCAATGTAAGGGACTTTCTTTCCTTGACCACCAATGTAAGGGACATTCTTCCCCCACCTGACCCCCAATGTAAGGGGCATTCTTCCCCCTGACCCAATGTAAGGGATGACCACCAATGTAAGGGACATTCTTCCCACTGACCCCCAATGTAAGGGGCATTCTTCCCCCTGACCCCCAATGTAAGGGACATTCTTCACTGACCCCCCTGACTGACCACCAATGTAAGGGACATTCTTCTCTCTGACCACCAATGTAAGGAACGTTCTTCCCCTGATCACCAATGTAAGGGGCATTCTTCCCACTGACCACCAATGTAAGGGGCATTCTTCCCACTGATCACCAATGTAAGGAACATTCTTCCCACCGACCACCACCAATGTAAGGGACATTCTTCCCACTGACCACCAATGTAAGGGACATTCTTCCACTGACCACCAATGTAAGGAACATTCTTCTCTCTGACCACCAATGTAAGGAACATTCTTCCCCTGATCACCAATGTAAGGGGCATTCTTCCCACTGACCCCCAATGTAAGGGACATTCTTCCCACTGATCACCAATGTAAGGGACATCTTCCCACCGACCCCAATGTAAGGACATTCTTCCCACCGACCACCAATGTAAGGGACATTCTTCCCACTGACCCCCAATGTAAGGGACATTCTTCCCACTGACCCCCAATGTAAGGGACATTCTTCCCACCGACCCCCAATGTAAGGGACATTCTTCCCACTGACCCCCAATGTAAGGGACATTCTTCCCACTGACCACCAATGTAAGGGACATTCTTCTCCCTGACCACCAATGTAAGGGACATTCTTCCCACTGACCCCCAATGTAAGGGACATTCTTCCACTGACCCCCAATGTAAGGGACATTCTTCCTCTGACCCCCAATGTAAGGGACATTCTTCCCACTGATCCCCAATGTAAGGGACATTCTTCCCACTGATCACCAATGTAAGGGACATTCTTCTCCCTGACCACCAATGTAAGGACATTCTTCCCCCTGATCACCAATGTAAGGGACATTCTTCCCACTGACCCCCAATGTAAGGGCATTTTTCCCACTGACCACCAATGTAAGGGACATTCTTCCCACTGACCACCAATGTAAGGGACATTCTTCCCCCTGACCACCAATGTAAGGGACATTCTTCCCACTGATCACCAATGTAAGGGACATTCTTCCCACTGACCACCAATGTAAGGGACATTCTTCCACTGATCACCAATGTAAGGGACATTCTTCCCCCGACCACCAATGTAAGGGACATTCTTCCCACCTGACCCCAATGTAAGGGACATTCTTCTCCCTGACCACCAATGTAAGGGACATTCTTCTCTCTGACCACCAATGTAAGGAACATTCTTCTTCTCTGACCACCAATGTAAGGAACATTCTTCCCCTGACCACCAATGTAAGGAACATTCTTCCCCCTGATCTCCAATGTAAGGGAACATTCTTCCCCCTGATCTCCAATGTAAGGGGCATTCTTCCCACTGATCACCAATGTAAGGGACATTCTTCTTCTCCCTGACCACCAATGTAAGGGACATTCTTCCCCTGACCACCAATGTAAGGGACATTCTTCTCCCTGACCACCAATGTAAGGGGCATTCTTCCCCCTGACCCCCAATGTAAGGGGCATTCTTCCCACTGACCACCAATGTAACGGGGCATTCTTCCCACTGATCACCAATGTATGGGGCATTCTTCCCACTGACCACCAATGTAAGGGGCATTTCTTCCCACTGATCACCAATGTATGGGGCATTCTTCCCCCTGACCACCAATGTAATGGGCATTCTTCCCCCTGACCACCAATGTAAGGGACATTCTTCCCACTGACCACCAATGTAAGGGACATTCTTCTCACCGATCACCAATGTAAGGGACATTCTTCCCACCGACCACCAATGTAAGGGACATTCTTCCCACCGACCACCAATGTAAGGGACTTTCTTCTCCCTGACCACCAATGTAAAGGACATTCTTCCCACTGATCACCAATGTAAGGGACATACTTCCCACCGACCCCCAATGTAAGCGACATACTTCCCACCGACCAACAATGTAAGGGACATTCTTCCCACTGACCCCCAATGTAAGGGACATTCTTCCCACTGACCCCCAATGTAAGGGACATTCTTCCCACTGACCCCCAATGTAAGGGACATTCTTCCCACTGACCCCCAATGTAAGGGACATTCTTCCCACTGACCCCCAATGTAAGGGACATTCTTCCCACTGACCCCAATGTAAGGGACATTCTTCCCACTGACCCCAATGTAAGGGGACATTCTTCTCCCTGACCACCAATGTAAGGGACATTCTTCTCCACTGACCACCAATGTAAGGGACATTCTTCCCACTGATCACCAATGTAAGGGACATTCTTCCCACTGACCACCAATGTAAGGGACATTCTTCTCCCTGACCACCAATGTAAGGGACATTCTTCCCACTGACCCCCAATGTAAGGGGCATTCCCACTGACCACCAATGTAAGGGACATTCTTCCCCTGACCACCAATGTAAGGGACATTCTTCCCACTGACCCCAATGTAAGGGACATTCTTCTCACTGACCACCAATGTAAGGGACATTCTTCCACTGACCCCAATGTAAGGGACATTCTTCTCTCTGACCACCAATGTAAGGGACATTCTTCCCACTGATCACCAATGTAAGGGACATTCTTCCCACTGATCACCAATGTAAGGGACATTCTTCTCCCTGACCACCAATGTAAGGGGGACATTCTTCCCACTGACCCCCAATGTAAGGGACATTCTTCCCACTGATCACCAATGTAAGGGACATTCTTCCCACTGACACCAATGTAAGGGACATTCTTCCCACTGATCACCAATGTAAGGGGACATTCTTCCCACTGATCACCAATGTAAGGGACATTCTTCCACTGACCACCAATGTAAGGGACATTCTTCCCACTGATCCCCAATGTAAGGGACATTCTTCCCACTGACCACCAATGTAAGGGACATTCTTCCCACTGATCACCAATGTAAGGGACATTCTTCCCACTGATCACCAATGTAAGGGACATTCTTCCCCACTGACCACCAATGTAAGGGACATTCTTCCACTGACCACCAATGTAAGGGACATTCTTCCCCTGACCACCAATGTAAGGAACATTCTTCCCACTGATCACCAATGTAAGGGACATTCTTCCCACTGATCACCAATGTAAGGGACATTCTTCCCACTGACCCCAATGTAAGGGACATTCTTCCCCCTGATCACCAATGTAAGGGACATTCTTCCCACTGACCCCCAATGTAAGGGACATTCTTCCCACTGACCCCCAATGTAAGGGACATTTTTCCCACTGATCACCAATGTAAGGGACATTCTTTCCACTGATCACCAATGTAAGGGACATTCTTCCCACTGACCCCCAATGTAAGGGACATTCTTCCCACTGACCACCAATGTAAGGGACATTCTTCTCACTGACCACCAATGTAAGGGACATTCTTCCCACTGACCACCAATGTAAGGGACATTTTTCCCACTGATCACCAATGTAAGGGACATTCTTCCCACTGATCCCCAATGTAAGGGACATTTTTCCCACTGATCCCCAATGTAAGGGACATTCTTCTCACTGACCACCAATGTAAGGGACATTCTTCTCTCTGACCACCAATGTAAGGGACATTCTTCCCACTGATCACCAATGTAAGGGGACATTCTCCCCACTGATCCCCAATGTAAGGGACATTTTTCCACTGATCACCAATGTAAGGGACAGTCTTCCCCACTGATCACCAATGTAAGGGGCATTCTTCTCCCTGACCACCAATGTAAGGGACATTCTTCCCCTGACCACCAATGTAAGGGCATTCTTCTCCCTGACCACCAATGTAAGGGACATTCTTCCCCCTGACCACCAATGTAAGGAGCATTCTCCCCCTGACCACCAATGTAAGGGGCATTCTGCTCACTGACCCCCAATGACTTGGTATTGGCAGGGATTCATCCAGACCTAAAAATTATTTTAAAGGTTCCTCTGAGGTAAAAAGATTGAGAATGACTGTTAGAGTTGTCACTCGAGTTCCAGCTCTGAGTCTGCTGTGACTGCTGACATCACATCCAAGATGGCGGCAGTCAGCAGCACTTGCAGGCTTTTTTGTGAACACAGTGGAGGCTTTAATAGGTAAATGACTTGTGTTTGGTGTGGATATATATATTTGTACCAGTACCAGGACTGGATCATTCAGCACTCGGGCCAAGGATGTGGAACTGCTCACCCTCCCATCCATCTAATGCATGTCATTGAATGGGTGTAGCGCCCGGCGCGCCTATTCCTTGATCCAGCTGCCCATGGTTGGCATGGCGTGCTGCACTGAACTTGCAAGGCTGATTGCCTGCTTTTAGTGGCTAGAAGGAAGCTACGCATGCATGGTGGGTATCAGGGGCGGACTGACCATTTGAGTGCCCGGGCACTGCCCGAGGGCCCGGGGTCAGTAGGGGCCCCATGAGATGCCCCTGGTACCTTTCATAGGATTTTTTTGGTGTGGGTGAGGACACATGGGCCCCATGATCCCTATTGCCCGGGGGCCCCATGAGTTGTAAGCCCGCCCCTGGTGGGTGTATTGGGTGCAGATTGGGCATGTTGGAGCACATCGTTGACAGCAGTAGCTTCAGCCTAGCCACTGATCTGGAGCTTGCTTGCAGTGAAGGGGCGCCCAACCCTTGTCCCGGCCCCGATTTGTACCACGGGGAAAGTAAAATCAGTTATGTTGTCTAGGAAAGTGAATGGTCATTTCAAAACCAGTACTGGGGCTGCTTTCACTGATGACCAGGATGGGGTGGATTCCCAATCCTGATGGACCAGGTTTGGTTTTTGCCCTGACAGGCTGTTGATTGGGTTCAGCTGGACCAAGCTGTGGTGGTCAGTGTGTATGTGTGTCAGATCAGAGAACACCATGCTAGGACTGCCAGCCCTGCAGGAGCCGCTTTCTGGACCGATGCCATTTCCAAGGAGTAACCTTACCGGGAACAAGGGACTTTGTTCAGGACATTGGCCAAGTAAGACCGCGTTGAGCAGAAGCTGGTTTTGGCATTTATGCCGTTACTGTGTTCATTCTTCTGGAGCAAAAAAGCCTGTTTTGGTTGAAAGGATAAGTCCATTTTTACAAAAAAAAAAAATGAAATGCACTTTTTTTGGTAAAAAAAATTTCCTTTTTTTAATAGTTTTTTTTCCATTAGCAGCCTATAAAGCATTGCACCCGCGATCAGCAGATGGTCCTGCAGGCTGTCTGTGTAGCTGTCTGCCTGTACCTCCGATATGGGCAGGCAGCTATAGTCTTGACAGGAAGCTTAATGAACTACTAAAGGACTCAAGAGCTCCATGGTAGTTCATTGAGAGATGCAAAGGCTGATGGGACTTGTAGTTTACCCATTCACAGAGCACTGTGAATGAATGACATGGCTGGGTGGGTGGAAGGTCCCCTGCTTGCTGTCAAAACTGGAACTCCTAGGGGTGCGGGGGCCAGTGCATTTAAGACATCTACCTATGAGTCTAACATATATTTATATATATATACACTATATTGCTGAAAGTATTGGTTGGCCGGCCTTTTCACGCACATGACCTTTAATGGCCCCCCAGTCTTAGTCCGTAGGGTTCGATATTGAGTGGGCCCCGGCCTTTGCAGCTATAACAGCCTTTAATATTGAGTTGCCCCGGCAGTCTTTCCAGGGTTCACATGACCTTTAATGGCCTCCCAGTCTTAGTAACCTTCAAGGGTTCAATATTGAGTTGGCCCCGCCCTTTCCACACACTTGACCTTTAATGGCCTCCCAGTCTTAGTCCGTAGGGTTCAATATTGAGTTGGCCGCCCTTTCCACTCACATGACCTTTAATGGCTTCCCAGGCTTAGTCCATAGGGTTCAATATTGAGTTGGCCCGCCCTTTGCAGCTATAACAGCTTCAACTCTTCTGGGAAGGCCGTCCACAAGGTTTAGGAGGGTGTCTATGGGAAGGTTGGACCATTCTTCCAGAAGCACATTTGTCAGGTCAGGCACTGATGTCGGGGGAGGAGGCCTGGCTTCACAGTCTCCGCTCTAATTCATCCCAAAGGTGTTCTATGGGGTTGAGGTCAGGACTCTGTGCAGGCCAGTCAAGTTCCTCCACCCCAAGCTGGCTCCTCCATGTCTTTATGGACCTTGCTTTGTGCACTGGTGGCAGTCATGTTGGAACAGGAGGGGCCATCCCCAAACTCTTCCTACAAAGTTGGGGGCATAAAATTGGGCAAAATGTCACCTTAAGAGTTCCCTTTACTGGAACTAGGGGGCCAAGCCCAACCCCTGAAAAAAACCCCACACCATAATCTCCCCTCCACCAAACTTTACATTTGGCACAATGCAGTCAGGCAAGTACTGTTCTCCTGGCAACCGCCAAACCCAGACACGTCCATCGGATTGCCAGACAGAGAAGCATGATTGGTCACTACAGAGAACACATCTCCACTGCTCTAGAATCCAGTGGCGGCGTACTTTACACCACGGCATCCGACGCTTTGCATTGCACTTGGTGATGGAAGGCTTGGATGCAGCTGCTCGGCCATGGAACCCATTCCATGAAGCTCTCTACGCACTGTTGTTGGGCTCATCTGAAGGCCACACCAAGTTTGGAGGTTCTTTAGCTATTGACTCTGCAGACAGTTGGCGACTTCTGCACACTGTGCGCTTCAGCATGCGCTGACCCCGCCCTGTCATGTGACGTGGCCTACCACTTGGTGGCTGAATGGCTGTTGTTCCCAGTTGCTTCCACTTTGTTATAATCCCACTAACAGTTGAGCGTGGAATATTTAGTAGCCAGGAAATGTCACGGATGGACTTATTGCACAGGTGACCACCTATCACGGGACCACGCTTGGAGTCACTGAGCTCCTGAGAGCGACCCATTCTTTCACCAATGGTTTGTAGAAGCCGTCTGCATGTCTAGGGGATGGATTGTATACACCTGTGTCCATGGAGGGGATTGGAACACCTGAACACCTGAACACCTGAATCACATGACATGGAGGGGATTGGAACACCTGAATCACATGACATGGAGGGGAATGGAACGCCTGAATCATATGATTGGGAGGGGATTGGAACACCTGAATCACATGATATGGAGGGGATTGGAACACCTGAATCACATGACTTGGAGGGGATTGGAACACCTGAATCACATGACTTGGAGGGGATTGGAAC